TCTATCTATCTATCTATCTATCTATCTATCTATCTATCTATCTATCTTTGTCAGTTACATATCCTATCCTTGGTTTCCTTCTTTGTGAAATGGGGAATTAATTGATCTCACCAGTCCCCTCCAGCTCTGATAATCTCCCATATTATAGAATCTTCTTATTTGCCCCCTGCCCCCCAGGCAGTATAAGCAGCAGAAGAAAACAGGTTACATATGAGGGCTGGCCTTATATGTTGGAATACATGATTTTATTTGTGTGATGCTATAGAAATACCTGTCTCACCGTCTGAAGGTCTACCATTAGAACTCATTTCCTTTGAATGTCAAAGGCTTTTAATCTCAAAGTCCTCTACAGCCTGCTGTGGTAGAAAGAGGACTAGACTAGGCTGTCCATAGTCAGGGTTTCAGTCCCCACTGTATCATGTAGAAGCTGTGAGATGTTGGATAATTCAGTCTTTAAGCTTCATTTTCCTTTTATGGAAAATAAGGGGATTGGTGTAAATAGTCCCTAAGGGTCCCCTTTTCAGACCTAATGTGCTATGGGACAGAACGGCTTTTATGGGAGGGTTCTGTAGTCAGAGTACTCCTTAAGGGATAGGCTTCTCTCTCTTTCTCTCTCTTTTTCCTTTTCTCTTTCTTCTTCTCTCTCTCTCTCTCTCTCATTCTCTGTCTCTGTGTCTATCTCTCTCTCTCTCTTCCCCCCATATATTTGCATTTGCATCCCCAGTGCCTAACACAGGGGCTGGTACACAGTTGGCACTCAACAGATGCCTATTAATTATTTATTTCATTGGGTCTTTGGGATTGAATGCTCCCAAGGACAGCAAAATTAGGGATAAGGGGCAAGAGAGGTGAACTTCTTTCCTACTCTATTCCTTGAGAGCTAAATTCTATATTGACTTTGGAGCCAAAGGTCCTGGGTTCAAATCCTTCCTCTGATACTCATGTGACCTCGGGCAAGTCACTTAAATATCTTGGCAGTTTCTTCATCTCTAAAGTGAAGGGGGTGGAATAGATGGCTTCCAAGGTCCCTTCTGGCTTTAAATCTGTGATTTCCCATTACCGTTATTTGTCAGTAGGGCATGCTGCCTCCCTACACATGTGATTTTAGGCAAGTCACCTTCTCTGAAATTCCCTTTCCCCGTCTGTAAAATGGGATAATACCTGTCCTGTCTCACAGGGTTGCCTCATCAAAACAAATGAGGTAATGGGTGTGAATGTGTTTTTAGGGCAGTACAAATAAGGTAGAGGTATGAACACCATCACTGGTATTGTTATTAGTGTTATTAGGTAAGCCAGTAGCAAAGCTGGGCACTGATCCCAGGACTGTTGGCTCCCTTTCCCTGAGCAGATGACATTTACCTCCTCACCCTCGATCCAGCAAATTCCCAGCCAGTGACAGAGTCAGGGAAGGTTGAAATGAAATGCAGGCCAATTCTGCCGCCCCAACCCATCTCCTTTCAGCAGAAGTCAGGAGGTAGAAAGGGGTGCTTTTGTGATGTCCTAGTTAGAGTTTCAATTAGGCCTTTGCTGACAGATGTGTTATCACTGTACCAGGTGGGTAGGAAAGTCATTGGAGGAATCACCAGGCCAGATCGTCAGGGATGTCCTACCCACCCCCATCCTCCTACTGGCTCCTGGAGAGCTGCTGAGTTAATTAAGGAAGAAAGCAAGCAGCTAGACCATGGCTGTGTGTAATTCATCGTCTGTGTGTGGACAGAGAACTAGCATTTGGTCCAAGAATGGAATAAATGGAGGGCTGGATTCTAGAAAATCAGAACTGGATAGAACCTTGAGGATCTTTGATTCCAGATCTACTGAGGAGTAAACTGAGGTTCAGAGAAGAGAACTCACTTGACCATGGCCACACTATCAGTTAGTGGCAAAGTCAGGACCAGGACCCAGGCACTGTTTCCTATTTCAGTTATCTCTTTGCAACACCTTGCTACCTCTCTCAAACTTAGAATTGTAGCATGTTATTACTGGATGGGACCCTAGGGATCCAGTCCAATGTCCTCTTTTTACAAATGGGGAAACTGAGGCCCAGAGAGGATGAGTACCTATCACATAGATAATACATATCAGAATGTAGACTCAAACTCAGGTCTTCAGACTACAAGTTTAGTATTCTTTCCATTACACCCACCTTTGTACACAGCACCTAGCACATAGTAGGTGCTTCATAAATGATCATAGGATCATAGATTTTGAGTCAGAAGGGACCTCAGAAGTGATCGACTCAATCCTCTCATTGTACAGGTGGGGGCCAAAGGGGTTAAAGTGAAGTGTCCACCATCACACAGCTATCAGGTTGAACCCAGTCCTTTTTCTGACTCCAAGGTCAGTATTCTCTAACCATTATCATGACTGTATACAAGATGGCAGGTGAAGTAGACTCGGGTAGATTTACCTTGAGCTCCCAAATGGTTAACATAACTTTCAGTTCTCAGCTGTTTCTACTTTATCCCTCACTTGCCCATTGTTTTTTATTATCATTAATTATTATTAGTAGTAGTAGTAATAGTAGAAGGAAGAGGAGGATGAGGAGGTAGTGGTAGTAGTAGTAATAGTAGTAGCAGAAGAAGGAGGAGGAGGAGGAGGGAATGGTGGTGGTGGTGGTGGTAGTAGTAGCAGTAGTAGTAGTAGTAGTAGTAGTACTAGTAGTAGTGTCATCACCACCACCACCACCACCACTACCACCACCACTGCTACTACCATCCCCTTTTCCTAGTTAGCCCTTTCCCAAGGTCAGATTCTTGGTCTTTGGAGATGCTCAAGCTCCCTATAGGACTTCCAAACGGAGAAGTTGGCCTGCTGAGATGTCCTGCCTTTTCTTCTTGAGAAGGGAGACAGGGAAACACTGCCCTCTCACCTGATCCTGGTAGCACATTCACCACGCCTTTGGGAATGCCAGCTTTCACTGTTAGCTCTGCAAATTTCAAAGCACTCAGTGGTGTCACCTGGTGATAAAGCAAGAGAATTGCACAGTCTCAGACCCACCGGCCCTCCCAGGCCTTTCTCTTTTATTTTATGCACTGGGTGACTTCCAGACGTCACACATAGAAAAATGAAGCTATCATTTTTGATATGATTAAATGGTTCCAGCTGAGCAACCAAGCTCACCCCTTTCTCCTTACCAGGATGCCCTCCTCCAGCATCTCCATCTCTCCAGAGCTGCAGGATGAAGGGATTGGACCAGATGACTACTAAGATCCTCTCAAGCTTTAAATGACTTTAAAAACCAACTAATCCTTCTTGTAGCAGGGGAGGAAATAGAGTAAGGAGGTGACTTGTTCAAGGTCACAAGGTAAGTGGCAGAGCCAGAATTCCAGCCTGGGCCTTTTGATTCCAAGTCCAGTGTTTTCTTCATGACTCCATTCTTTCTTTTCTCTTCTGGGAAGACTTGGCAATACTTAGTGCTATGCCCTGGATAGAGTAAATGCCTAATGCATATTCAATGTCATCAATCATTCAGTTAACAATCACTTATTATGCACCTATTGTGTGTTGGACACTATGCTGGATGTTGAGGATACAAAAGGCAAAAATGAAACAATTTTTGCCCTCTTGGACCTTGTATTCTATCAGGAGGGACAAAACATAAATGTGTAAATGTGCGCAGAATGTATTAAAATACATGGAAAGTAATTTTTTACTGGGGGGCGCCCTAACAAGTAGGGAGTGGAATCAGGAATGACTTGATATAGGAGATGCTGGTTGTGCGGAGGAAGCATTGAAGGAAGTTATGGATTCTAAGAGGCAGAGGTGAGGAGGGAATTGATTCCAGACATGGAGAACATTGTTGTTGTTTGTCCTTCATTCTCCAAGAGGACCATGAGATCAGGAAGGTGACTCTATGACTTGCAAGTGAATTGGATTTTAGTTAGGGAGGGCTGTGCAAAGTCACCAGCCTCACTCTCTCCTCTGGAACTACCTGAGTCCAGTGGTCAGATATAGACTGGAGAGGGCCTCCCATGGGGTACATACAGCCTGTGTAAAGGCACCAGAATAGAAGATTACTATTGTGTGTGAGGAACCGCAAGATAGCTAGTTTGATGGGAGCATATGAAGAAGAGTAATGTATGGTAAGGCTGGAAAGACAGGTTGAAACCAAATTATAAATGGCCTCATATTTATATAAAAGGCATTTTTATTTGATCTTAGGAATAACAGGTTACTGTTGATTCCTAGGATCAACTGATGACTCCAATGTACCGAGGTCACTTCTCACCTCAAAATTGTTCAGAGGCTCCCCATTGTCTATCAAACCGGAGTTCAATGATCATGGGAATTGATATGGTCAGACATTTCAACTTCTAAGCTGTTTGCAGGATGGATTAGAGAGATTTGAGGCAGAGAGACCAAGCAGGAGGCCATTGCAAAAGTCCAGAGGCGATGACGACCTTAACTATGATGGTGGCTAGGTGAGTAGAGAAGTTTGGATACGAGAGATATTGGAAAGGGAGAAACATCAAGATTTGGCAATTGATTGGACACGTGGGGTAAGAGAGAGTGAGGGGGCAAGGATGATGCTGGGAGTCTGGAAGATTGATGGTGCCTTTGTCAGAGAGAGGGAAGTCTGGGGAAAGGTAATGAGTTCTGCTTTGGACATGTAGAGTTTGAGATGACTCTGGGACATTCAGCTGGAAATGTCCAATAAGTAATTGGTGATGTGGGACTAGAGCCGGGTGTATAGCTCTAAGAGTCATATGAGTTAGTCACAGAGACTTTACTATTGCAACAGCTCCAACCCACACTGATTTCTCTCTGTCCTGATCTTCTGTAATATTCCATCAGCAATGGGGCAGCTAGGTGGTGCAGTGGATAGAGCACCGGCCCTGGATTCAGGAGGATCTGAGTTCAAATCCGGCCTCAGACACCTAACACTTACTAACTCTGTGACCCTGGGCAAGTCACTTAACCCCATTGCCAAGCCAAAAAAAAAATATTTCATCAGCAAAGTTGTAAAGTTGGTAAAAACCAGTTTCTGTGTCTTCTTACCTCCCCTTCAAATAACTCCTGTCTATTGGCACCCCCTTCCCCTCTCCTTACTCCTGCATTAATCTTGCGACCCACAGTCTTGGTCTCAGCTGATGAAAAGCAAATCCTCTTATTAAAGAGATGATCTTATGAAGAAAGAATAAAAAAGCATTTAAGTGTTTGCTGTATGTCCTTGGCATACCCACAGAAGGTAGGTAGTATTTGTATTACTCTTCCTATTTTACAGACGAGGAAAAGTGACTAGCCGATAGTCACAGTGTTAGCTAGTGGCTGGGTCAGAACTCGAACCCAAGTCTTGATTCCCAGTCTAGTGCTTTCCCATGACACTCTGACATTTCTATAAATAATAAAGCCATAATATTACCTGAGTACTAGACCCTCTACCTTGAGATAGGCTGAAATGTTTGGTAAAGGTGGAGATGGCTGGGTAGCTGCCCAGAAAAGAAACAGGACCCCTGGAGTTAGCCTGCTGGGAGAGATGGCTGGAGAGGAGAGTTCCCCCCCCCCCACCCAATTAGCAAACCCTGGGCTTGAAAATGAAAGTTCAAGGATAGGATCATTGTATAATGATGGGCCAAATGGATAGCTTACTCTGCAGAGTTCCACGGTAGAAGGATCTCCCACTAGGACTCAGATTTGAGAAACACACATTGTTATAATTATGCCTACCCTCTCCCCTTCTCCCCACCCTATCAGCGTCAACAAGCCTTGCACCTTGAGGTGACTCACCTGGGCTGGCTTGATGACCAGTGTGTTCCCAGCCGCCAGGCAGGCAGCAGTCTTCCAGGAGAGCATCATCAGGGGATAATTCCAGGGAATGACGATGCCACAGACCCTAAATACCAAGGTGAGCAGGAGTGAGTCCTGCCCAAGCAAGGTTCCTTCCCCCACCCCATACTGCCTCTTTCCATCTTCCCTGCCTCCTCTCTGTGATTCTAATATTCCAGCATGAGAAACCTGGCAAGAAGCCTAGACTCAGATCCAGGAGACCTGAGTTCTAGACCTGGCCCTGCTACTAAATCATCATGACTTTTCAGGGCCTCATTTTCCTCATCTACAAAATGGAGAGGTTCTACTGGTTGATATCGAAGGTTCCTTTCTTCTCTGCCAAGTCATTCTACCTCTTGCAGCCTCAGTTTTCTCATCTGTCAGATGGACTGTTTGGAGATGATGTTTGCAACAGTCATCTCAAACTCAACATGTCCAAAGAACTCATTACCTTTCCCCAGACTTCCTTATTCCTGACAAAGGCACCATCAATCTTCCAGACTCCCAGCATCATCCCTTTCCCACCTGATATACTATGATTCAGTTCTATAGGATGACCCTACAAATACTTGAAATTATCTATCATGCCCACATTAGCCTCAAAGCAACTCTTTTGAAATACTTGCATTGTAAGGTTTCTGCCACATAGTATGCACTTAACTTGTTAATTTATTTATATAATGCTTCCTAATTTATTTATGGAAGTCTTCAATTTCTTAACACAAAGGAATGAGTGTCTAGGGATGGATATGGTATGAGATAGGAAGGCCCCAAAGACAAGGCTGTTGTGCCTGGGTTGCCCAGACAGCTATTTCTAGTGTTGCTTGGTGCCAGTGGGGACTTTTTCTGGAAAGACTGTTTGCATTTGAGCCCTAGGTCTTTTTTAGAAGTCTGAGGGGAGTGGAGGGTGGGGATCAGCCTCTCCAAGTGAGTGCTCCAGTCAGATGGCCCCAGACGAAGCTACTAGCATCCCTCCCAGTGTGGGCTTAGTTTGATTATTCTGATTAGTTACATCTTTGGAGAGGTTTGAGAGGCTCATAGATATAGAGTTGGAAGGGACCTTGCAGTATGACCACCCTTCATTTAACAGACAAGGAAACCGAGGACCAGAGTGGTTAAGTGAAATGTTTAAGATCACACAGCTAGTAGGTAACAGAGCCAGTATTTAAAACCAGGTCCTATGACCCCAAATCCAGTACTCTATTCATAGCAACGATAATTTTCTGGTCCTTACTCTCCCTCTGCATTTCCCCCCCACCTCCCCAAGTTGCTAGTACCTCTTCCCACTAAAATTATCTTTTTTTCTCTTGCACAGATTTTGCATAAACTTATGTGTACATGTTATTTCCCCAATACAATGTAAGCTCCTTGAGGGCAGCAACTGTCTCACTTTTGTCTTTTTATCCCTAGTATCTAGCACAGTGCCTGGCATACAGTAGGTGCTTAATAAATATTTGTTAATTCATTAATTGCACCACATTGCCTCTCACAAAAGTAGGGTCACAGTTAGTCTTGAGGGAGGTCTCCCATTTGACCAGGTCCAATTTTCTGACAATTTTGCCACCAAACTCTTCTATGAAAGCATCCCAAAGTGATGGGACTCACCCAACTGGCTCTTTCTTGGTGAAGGTCAGGTTGCGGTTAGGCCTTGCTTGGTTAATGGGGATGGTGGTGCCCTGGAAACCAAACACAAGGATGTGTCAAGGTCTTTAATCCTCCTCTCCCTCCCCTGTACCCCAGGTAGGTGTATACTGCCCATTGGAGATCTTGGCAATTTGTCCTTGGCTTGGGAATAGGAAGTCAGGTGTCCCTTAAAGTAGAACAGAAAGTGTAAGGTAACACATCAAGTGGTGGAGCTATAGCCTCCAACTCCAAATCCAGGGTTCTTTCCATCGTATAAACCACACGGGTTTCCGTGACTCCTCCTTTATGATTATCTTACTTTTTCTTGCATCATAGCTATTTATGTAAGTGTCCTTCCTTTCATGAGACAACAAGCTCCCTGAAAGCAGGCCCTGCATCGTAGTCATCTTTCTATCTCTACTACTGAACTTTGTACTTAAGAACGTAGAGATTTAAAACGTAGCTTAAATTCCATGAGAACTTCTTTCTATCCTAGGTATCTGGGGGTTCTCCATTCTGAAGGGCACAGGCCACTGAAGTTCCGGAACAGGCAGAAGGAAACTTATGAGTCAAACTCCTGAGTCCCCTCAGGAGGCTGGTGCCCATTCCTCTTTCCCCATATCCTCAGAGAATCCTTTTTTGGGGGGACCTTGACCTGACCCTTGGGGACTCAGACTTTAAGAAAGGAGGTCAGGCTGATGATGCGTGGGCCTGACGGATCCCACCTGAATTTTGTCACACCAGCCTGCAAAATAGCGGAAGGTTTGGATGGACATGCCCACGTGCGTCTTCAAGGCCAGGGTGTAGACGGCGCCTGAGTCAACGGATTCAATGGTGGCCAGCTCTTCCTGGTGTTCCTCCATGAGATCAGCTAACCTGGACAGACCAGAGGGAAAGAAAAAGAATGGACACTGTCATCTTGCTCTCTACCCTCCCACCGCCATCTTGTTTTCCCCATCTCTCACTGCCCAGGTCTTATCCCACCTCCACCATGAAGCCTCCCCTAACTATTCAGGCCCACAATGATGTCTCCTTTCTCTGAAGCCCTACCACATGTAGAGTCTACACTACACATCTAAAGTCTTAGAGTTAAGGATGGAGGATCATAAATCTGGGAAGAACTTAGCAGGCATCTAGACCAACCTTTTCATTTTTATAGAGCAGAAAGTTAAATGACTTGCCCAGGGTCACATAGCTGGCTAGTGACAGGAATATGACTAGAACTCAGATCTCCTAACTCAGTCTGGTGTTCTTTCCCACTTAAGTACATCACTCAATTTCAAAGGTGAGGGACTATGGGTATGAAAGATTGCATACCACAGACCATCAGACATGGTTAATTTGGGAGAGTTAATTTTACTGAACTATCTCCTCTCCTTTTTATTTTCTGTTATAGGGGGGAAATGACCCCAGGAGTGATGTAGGGTGTTGGGGGTTACAGAGTAGGGTGGAGAAGATGGGAAGCAGGAGGACACATTTGGAAATGAGGGTGATGTAAAACCAAGGGACATTGACACAAATTAAAACAATGACAAGAAGTAGCCTCAAGTTAATGGAGTGGCTGGGACCGGAAGCTGGCTCTTCCAGTTCCTAGTTCAGTATTCTCACATTGTGTATTGTTTAAGATTCCATTTTACATTTTTTCTATGAAAAAAAAAAAAAGCTATTTTCTCTCCCTACTACCCTCACCCCACTGGAAAAAAATAAGAACAAAATCCCAGTTACAGACATGCATAGTCAAGCAAAACAATGATCACGTTGGCCATCTCTCTCTCTCTTTAGGGTATGCATACATATACGTGTATGTATGTATGTGTGTGTGTGTGTGTGTGTACATATATACACATATATGTATGTATATACAATACATATATAGGTATACAACACATATATAGTTTAATATGATGTTTTGTATGTATACATATACAGTGTGTGTATACACACAAATTCCTTGGGACTAACAATTCTTTATCAGGAGGTGGGTAGAATTCATCATCATTGGTCCCTTGAAGGCTGCCTTCAGTGACTACTGGGAGAACACTGCCCCCTGCTGGACCTGTTACTTAGCTTTCCGATGACACCCTTGGTAACTGCAAGAAATGAATTGTTTCAAAGCTCTCTGGAAATTTATTTGGATAATTAAGAAGCAATATGTAAACGTGTTAGCATAATTCCTTGTAAGCTGCTCGACAACAGGACTCACGCTATACACCTACCTGCTTGTTTGTCCCCCAGTGCATACCAGGGTCTCTTTCTCCCAGCAAAAAACTGGCTGATTTCACTGATTGATTCATGGTACCCGGTGGCACATCAGGGGGGACAGTGTCTAAGCCACACCAAAAGGCGGTCTGCCTTCTCCTCAAAACTTTCCAGAAAAGATGCCATCTTTCCTTAGTAATGTATTCCTTCCTGCCATGTCCCCTTTGTAGTTGGATTTTTTTTTTTACCTTTGCTGTCACTAATCGCATCCCTACTGTTTTCCTCTCTTAAGTGGAAAACGGTATTCACCAAAGGGCGTGAAGGAGTGAGTCCTTCTTCCATTTCTGGCAGGGCCTCAGATGTTGGTGTCATTCATACCCGGCCTCTCTCAGAACTCCATTGCCTTCTGCTCTTTCTCCTCATTTGCCACATTGCCACCCCTAGAAACCTCCACCCTGGAGCCTTCCTCTCCTCATTGATGCCCCCCTTTCAAGTTCCCCTATATAGGCTTCTCTCATTAGAATGTGGTACAGTGGATAAAGCACTGGCCCTGGAGTCAGGAGGACCCAAGTTCAAATCCGGCCTCAGACACATAATACTTTCCAGCTGTGTGACTCTGGGCAAGTCGCTTAACCCCAACTGACTCACTAAGGAAAAAAAAACAGAATGTAAGCTCCTTGAGGGTAGGAATTATTTTGCTTGCTTGAATTTGTATTCCCAATGCTTATTAGCACAGTGCCTGGCATGTGATGGGTTATGGATTATTGGCTTTCATTCTTGAAGAGGATCAGAATGACATCATTATGTCAGGATCAATGTACAGTATGTCTGACTGTGGCTGACCAATACAAGCTCAGAAGTACCATAGGTTGGGCACAAATAGTCCATATGAACATTTGGGATAGAGATGTCTTTTTAGCCCATAAAAGGCATTGGAGTGAGTCTACTGAGAATGCTTTGGAGTCTCTGAAAGTTTTCTCCCCTATCCCCTACCTTGAAGAGGCAGTCCCTTTGGAGAAAATGAGGGGAGGGCCACTTTGAGCCCTTATCAGCTACCACCTTCAGAGATTAATTGACAGCAAGACCCTCAAGGGAGTGAGGTACAGGAGGAGGGGAGAGAAGAAGGGGCAAGAATAAAAGGAGACAGAAAAGGAAAGATGGGAAGAGTGCCAAAGTCTAATAGCGTGCCACTTCACAGGTCCAGCCCCGCTTCTAAATGTATACCAGCCTTCCATTTGACACTAACGTAAGCCTTAGAGATCATCTTACTCAGGTTGGAGAAAGAACAGAATGGAAGGCTCCTTGCAGAGATGAGAGCTGGAAGGTATTCCAGAGCTCATAGGGATTAGAGGATTTAGAATTGGAGGGGACTCTGGGGAACATCTAATCCAAGACTCACTTTTTATAGCCTGGGGAATTGAGACCCAGAGAGGGGAACTGATTGGCCCAAAGGCACACAGGAAATTTGTGGTGGTACCAGGACTAGAATCCAGGTTGCTTGACTCCCAGTCTGATGCTCTTTCTAATACAACACACTTTTCAGGGGCATCAAGAAGGTCTTTTGGCCCCGCACCCCTCCCCCAATCCCTCCTTCATTCATTGCCTGTGTCTGAAATTCTATTCTTGAAGTATTATCCCCTTAGCTTGATCCTTGTTAAAATGCCAATCCCCATTGGAAGGGTCATATTCTGAGCTTTTCTGCACACTTCAGTGTGAACTAGGACCTGAGAGAAGATTTGCCAGTGGGTCTGGAAGAGAGAGTTTGGGGGCATTAAGCAGCCGGAGGGGAAGGAGAATCAGGAAGGAACTCAAAGCCAACATCATCTTTCCCCCCAAATCTGCTCCTTCTGACTTCACCAGTTCTGTCTCTGGTTCCATCATGCACTCAGTCTCCTGTGCTTGAAACCCCAGAGTTATCTTTGAATTTGAGAGGGGATGGAGGGGTCACCAAATCCTATGGATTCCATTTTTCAAAACATATTTCATTCCCATCTCCTCTCTATTCCTGCTGTACCAGCTCAGTACCAGTCCTCATTAGCACCTGCCTGAACCATTGTAATAGTTGCCTGGCAGATTTTTCCACATTCATTTTTTCCACTTCTCCAATATATCTTTTATAAGGCTCATCAGCTATAATGTCTGGACATGGTATTCTTCTACTCCAAATCTTCAATGCCTCCCTGTGCTTCCCCAGCAAAGTTTGAGCTGCTTTTCTGGGTATTCAAGGCCTCCTGTAATAGCGTTACCCTGTCCTTTGAACCTTTATCTCATATTACTGTCCTTCCCATAGCCTAAATTCCAGGAAAGTCAGATGACTTTTCTCCAATGTTCACAGGGCTCTCCAGTCTTCAGGCCTTTGCTCAAGCTGCTTCCCATAAGGACACTTTCGCTTTTGCTTTTGTATCCCTTGTGCCCGGCACATGGCACTTAGTGAGCACTTAATAAATGCTTATTGAGCTGAATGGAATTATTTAAATTGAATAACTCTCACAGTAGCTAGCACAATACTTGAATAACAAGAGCAGCAGATGTAGGTTTGTTGAGTGACTGGGTTAAATACATGGGAAACTGGGGGTGTGGAAGTCACACCTCTATATTTCATAGTCACAAGCATATGGCAGCCTTATTTTCTACTAAGCCCAGTTTTCTGTTGGCCACACAAGGTCCCATTTAATGCATTGTTTTATTTTCTATGTTCTGAAATTCCATGTTCTGTGGTTTCAAGGCCCTTTCAGCCCTAAATATTCTATGGCCCATTCTAGCTCTGACATTCTGGGTTCTAAGTCTATGTTCTGAGAGTCTATGTTCTAAGGGCCCTCCCAGCTCTGACAATCTATGTTCTAAGGGCCCTTCCCAGCTCTGATGGTTTATATTCTAAGAGACCTTCCAGTTCTGACATTCTGTGCTCTAAGTCTGTGTTCTAAGATCCCTCCCAGTTCTGATAGTCTACGTTCAAGGGCCCTGCTAGCTTTCATACGCAATGACTCTGAGATTCTGTGATTGGTTGACAGAAGTCAGTTGTCATTCATCCTATTTTCTCTTGTTTGTTATTTCTTCTCTGCGTATGTGAGCTATACTGCTAAGTCCCCTGGTTTTCTAGGAATTGTGGCTTCCTTCTTGTTGAAGACAAGTAGGCCTGGGAAGGAAAGCTCTGGGCCCCCATCTCCAGTGCTTGGGTCTGAAGCCCCCACACTCCCAGAGATGAGGAAAGCTGCCCTGCTTACTTGTAGAGAAGTCGTCCCCTATCTCTGGCGTTTATCTTCCCCCACACTCCATTCTCAAAGGCATCTTTTGCTGCTGCCACGGCCTGGTCAACATCAGAGATCTGGGCGAGTGATACTTTGCAGATGGCCTGTGAGGAGCAAAGCCAGGTACAAGATTTCCTGAGAGGTCCAAGGCTCAGGACTTCTGTCACTAGGGCCTTTGGGGGGGCACTTGGACCAGAAGTGGTCTGACTGGTTGGCCTGTTTCTAGCTGAGGTAAAACAATCAGGAAGAACTGGGAAGACTTGGGCTCTGGCTCAGTGACCTATTGGCCCTATGACCTTGGGCAAGTCTCTTGGGATCTTGGGAACATTTTTCCAATTCTTTTATTGATGTTTTAAACTCTGTTTCCTCACTTCTGAGAAGATGCAAACCACTTTGGGAGCATTCTTTTCTTTTCCCAGCTTGGTAGCACAGTGAATAGAAGATGGGGCCTGAAATCAGGAAGACCTGAATTCAAATCCAGCCTTAGACAATTAACAGTTGTGTGACCCTAGGTAAGTCACTTATACTCCATCTGCCTCATTTTTTCCCACTGTAAAGTGGGGATAATAATAGCACCTACATCATAGGGTTGTTGTGAGGATCAAAGGAGATCCTTACTTTTTTAAAGTGCTTAGTGCACTGTCTGGTACATAGTAGGCTCTTAGTAAATGTTCCCTTTTCCTCCCCCCCAAGACCTTAGACAAGTTACTTAATCTCTCTGGGTCTCAGTTTCCTCACTTGTATAATGAAAGGGCTGGACCTCTAGGGTCCCTTCCATCTCAGCCTCTGATTCTATAGTCCTTTATTCCAGAGCAGCAGATGGGAGATGAAGTATACTCATGAGAGTCGGGGCAGGTGGTAGAAAGTAAGGTAAGGATTACAGTTCCTTCTTCTTCTCTTACCCCTTCCAGATTCCCACCCGAGGAGGTCCTTCCTCTTAACCTTTGGGGCACCAGATAATTACTTCCTCACACTGCAGTAGCATTTTACTGCTTCCAAAGAATTTTTTCATTTTTTATCTCATTTGAATCCCCCAGTCATTACTCTATAAACTGGGAAATTTTACAAATGGGGAAACTGAGAGAGACTGAGTAACTTACTCAAGGTCTCAGAGCAATAAGGGATGAGATACAGATCAGCACTGAATGGCAAGAGGAGAGAGAAGGTTTGGCAGGCCTGCCAGGACTCACAGTCCCATCTGTTGGGTTGATAGTTTCGTAGGTCTTAGCTCCTTCAGCATCCACAAACTTCCCGTTGATGAAGAGCTGGTGAGGCATTCGAATGGTCAGGTTGTTGATGGACTTCTCCACCTGAGAAAGACACAGACTAATTGACCCTTGTCCCTCTAAAACCCACCAGGAGATTTGGGCTTCAAGTCTCTCATTCACCCTCTGGAACAAAGGGGATTGTTGTAGTGGCACCTAAGGAGTAGGGAGAATTGTTGAAAGTTGGTCCATTATTCTCAGTTTTCCCTGCTAACTATGCTGTGGTTCCAGGGTTACATTTGGGGGCTGGCGTAACCATCATCTGCAAAAATCCCTAGAATGCATTATGAACTCCCCATAGGGTCCCAACTCCATAACTTTGTGCCAACCTGAAGATTCACTGTACCATATAGAGCGTTATCAATCACTTTGGTGTTGTGTAGCAAGGACTTCCTTACAATATGGAAAATGGAAGTTAGGAGAAAGAAGCTTCATGGAAGAAAAAGAAAGTGTCACCTGCTCTTAGCTTTCTTGTCTCCCTCTTCAAGGGCAGAAACAGAAAAGAATTAGTGACATAGATCTCTATGTACACAGCATGAACTTCCATGACTCCATGACAATCACTATCCAATCAAAAGAAAATGCATCGGTAAGAGCCTTCTCAAATTTTCACATGGAACAAAGCTGGGAGGGAAAGCCAACATGTCGCATGACAGATTCAGGATCTAAGAGGCTTTTGACAGAATGGAATACTGGACTGAATCTAACATAAAAGAAATGTAATAGCGATAAATGTAAAGTCATACATTTGGGTTCCAAAAATCAACTACCTAAGTACAAGATGGGGGAAGAGTGGTTAGCAGTTCATTTAGAAAAAGATCTGGAGGTCTCGGTGGACTGTGAACTCAACCCAAGTCAACAATATGATATAGAAACAAAAAAAAATTAGGCTTCAGGTAAGGAAAGAAGTTGTTAATGATAAGAGCTTTTCAAAAGTGGAATGGGCTGCCTTTGGAAGTAGTGGTTTCCTTGATGGAAACCTTCATGCAAAAACTGAATAGGTAACTTTTTAAAGTTTTTTTTTTTTTTTTAGGAAATTGGGTTTAAGTGACTTGCCCAGGCTGAGGGCATGGATAGCTAACTTGACAAACATGTTATAGAAGGGATTCTTATTCACATGTGGGGTGGATGAGATGATGTCTGAAGTACCTGCCACCTCTGAGATTCTAGGAATCTCTCAAGCAATTTTTCATTCTTCAATGATACAGGAAAATTTCCCCACAATGTGGTATAGTGTGGGATAGGGGGTGGGGGAGAAGTGGCTGAATTTGGATTTAGACGAGCTGTGTTTGAATCCCACTTTGACATTTACTGCCTGCGTGATATTGTTCAAGTCACTGGACCCCAGTTTCCTCATTGGTAAAATAAGGGGGTTGGGTTAGATGACCTTTAAGGTCCCTTTAAGCTCAGATATGTACAATCCTAGGTGTAGAATATAGCCTCTAGATGTGCTATTGATTGGGAATTGGATGTCAGAACTTCAAGGGCTCTTAGCAACCTACACATTTACTGCCTGCCTAGAATACAAACTTTTAGACAGAGTGCCTTGGAATTAATTTTTAAATGAGCTTGTATCAGAGAAAAATTACAAATTTTAAAACAATATATAAATAGAAAAAAATTTTCATGTAAAGGTTTCAAGTTACTTAGCAGAAAAAAAATGTGAATAAAACAGAGCAGCCTATATTTTCCACCTTTTTATAGTAAACTTTTTTGCATAGTACCCTGGCTCAAAATTCTTTCATTTCTCAGACTGTGGACCACACTGTGTGAGGATTTTCTTCCTATATCATTCAATTAAGTACAGGTGGGACATATAAGGTGCAACTAGGTGGTACAGTGGATAGAGCATGAGGTTTGGGATCAGGACGACCTGAGTTCAAATCTGACCTCAGAAAGTGTATGCGACCCTGGGCAACTCACTTAACCCTGTTTGCCTCATAGACAAGGAAATGGAAAACCACTCCAGTATCTGCCAAGAAAACCCCAAATGGAGTCATGAAGAGTTGGACACAGCTGAGATGACTGAACAGGGCATGTAAGGTTGCCCTGAACATATTCCTACTCTTATGTTCCCACAGTATCCCTACTGGATATGGAGAATAGGGCCATGGAAGAAAGGAATCTTAAATGCAGTTTTTAGAATTCTCCAGGGACGTTGATCCCAGCTGCCATTTTGGATTCCAAAGCAAGTGAGTGTCACCACCATATAGGGTTTATTTAGAAGGTACCAAATACTTTTGGGAAGGGGATGTGATTCACCACCTACATAGTCTATAACTTGTTCTTCTTCTCCATCTTCCCCTCTCAGTTTCCTAATCAGCATCTGGATGAAATCCCCAAAGGTAGTTGCCATGTACACATCTTCATTCTCTAATTGTAGGCCATCGCATTGCAATTTCACTTCTTCGACAAGCCTAGAGAAAAGAAGTTTGAGAACACATGACACATGTTCTGCATATCCCTGCATCTGCAGAGGCCAAGACTAAATGCTAAAGACCAGCAAGGTGGCAATGACCACCAGCCCCCATCATTGTTCTTACTGTTATCACCAGCCCCAACACTGATACCATCATCTTCCATCATGTTGGACTGAGGTCCCACAGTGGGTATGGGGCTATGCTATGCTTGAGTAATAATTACTAAGATAATAACTCATCAATAATAATAGCCCACTTAAAAGTTTTCAAAACATTTTAAAACATCTCATTTCTCATCTATCTCTTCTGTCTTTAAGGACTTTATGCTCTAGGAGGAAGAAGGCACAGATAAATGTAACTATCAATCACCATGCAGACAATGAAGAGAAGATGCATAAACAGTGAATGCAAGTTAACAACAAAAACAAGTGTTACTTGCTGCAATGAGTTTTTTTGGGCAAAAGGAGATCTGGGTTAATCAAGGAAAGCTTTCTGAAGGAGGATTTAGGCTAGGATTTAAAAGGAATTGGAGGACATAGTTTAGGAGGGATCCTGATAAACTTAAGTATGTACCACAAGTAGGTGATCAAGATGATGCCAGGAGGCTGTGTCATGTGAAGGACAGTTGAGGACTGCTTAGCTTGGAGAAAAGAAGACAAGACCTTGGTCTTTGAGTATCTGAAGGATTGCTGGGGAGAGGAGACATTTTGTATAAATCCAATGTTCCTTTAAGCTAAAAAATGTACAATGCTAGGTGCAGAACGTAGCATCTGGCTGTGCTATTGATGGGCAGTTGGATGTCAAAGCTTAGAATAGAACTCGGACCAATTTGAGGAGGGAGGGAGTTATTGCAGGGGAAAGAGTTCAGTTCAAAGGAAGCAGTACTCTTTTTAAAGATGAGCACTATCCCACAGTAGAATGGGCTACCGAAGGGGTAGCTAGGTGGTACAATGTTTAGAATATGGGAACTGGAGTTAGGAAGACCTGAGTTTGAATCTGGCTTCAGACACTTATCAGCCCTGTGACCCTGGGCAAGTCATTTAACCTCTGTCTGCCTCAGTTTCCTCATGTGTAATATGAGGCTAATAATAGTATCTACCTCACAGGGTTGTTGTGAAGGACAAATGAGGTAATATTTGTTAAGGGCTTTGCAAACCTTAAGGTGTTGTATGAATGCCAGCTATTATCATCATCATCATCATTACTATTATGATGTTCTTATTGTTATTATTATCTCTCCATTATTGGAAGTGTTCAGATAGATACTAGATAACCACCTGTCAGGGAAGATATAAAACAGAGATTCCTAATACTTTCTATGTCATACCCACCCCTTTGACAGTCTGAAAGAAACAATCTCATTTGTTCGTCACAGCCACCTGTGAAGTGGATTCTATTATTATCCTCATTTTACAGATGAGAAAACTGAGTCAGACAGAGGTTAAATGACTTGTCCAGAGTAACACAGCTAATAAGTATCTGAAGCCAGATTCAAACTCAGGTATTCCTGACCCCAAGTCTCATATTCTAAACACTGTACCACCTAGTCACTTTGTTTTCCTTCAGAATAATGTTTTTAAATGCATAAAATATATAGAATTACAAAGGGAACCAATTATATTGAAATAGTTTCAAAAAAATAGGTTCCAGATTAAGAACACTTGCCATAGAGAGGATTCTTGAATAGGGTGGAAGGAAACTCATTCTGTAAAATCCCTTCAAACTCTGAGATTCTATGTACTATTGGCTCTACAGAAGGAGGCAGAAAGCTAGCAACTCCAACCTCCTCATTTTACTGACTCCAAATTCAGTGCTCCATCTTCTACACCTTTCTGCCTCTTATGGGGAATGGTTTGCTGGGCTAGATCAAAGTAAACCAGAACCAGGGAGCCATGCTGACCAGTGAGATTGAGACAGGGCAGTCGAACTGTGAAAGTCACTCTACAATAATTTGTCTTGGAGTTCCAAGGGAGACCACAAGGAGGCAGTCTCAACGGCTGAGTTCATTGGATTAGGAATTCAAGATGGCCTGTGGCTGGAGAAGGGATGGGAAATGAGGCTCCCCATAGGAAAGACATCATCATGGTCCTGGCACTGTAGCCTGGGGAAGGATTTTTGGCGAGAGGGGGAGGCAGCTGAGAGAGAGTATGCTTGGTAAGTTTATGGGTATTTTTACAACCCATACAATAACACCATAAACTGTTGTCAGAGGGAGAAGGAAGGGAAGAAATTGCTTTTAATCTCCATTTTAATTTGTTTTGGTCTGGACTGGTGGTTTCATTAATATAGGAAACTCCCTGCAAAGAAACTCCTTCCCGTGAGGTGGTCTTGTAATTTTTGGTTTTGGAGAGTTGCCTGGGACCCCAGGAAGTCAAGACACTTGACCATAGTAAGCACACAGTCATGCTGTGAAGGTCATAAAATCCATGTGTAGTAATTTATCCCAGAGTACTCAGAGAGCTGTTAGAAGGCATCTCAAGGCTGAGTTGGGTGGCTCTATCTACTTTATCATCCTGCCTTTCCTCCACTTCAGATTTTTAAAAATGTGTCTTCACAGAATGTGAGAATACCACAGTCTGAAGAGGCCATAGAGATGAGTTAGCACTCATAACTGACATTTATATATAGTGTTTTAAAGTTTTATTTTGAGCATTTTGCATACATTATCTAATTTGAGTCTCATAGGAATATTAAGGGGGTAAGTACTATAGCTGTTATTATACCTATTTAATAGATGAAGAAACTGAGGCTGAAAAAGCTTGCCTATGGTCATACAGCTAGTAAATGAGTGACATGGCATTTGAACCTAGATCTTTCTAACTCCAAGTGCACTACTTTATGCTGGCAGATGAGGAAAAGAAGAGACTTGGACAAGGAAAGTGAATTACTCAGTATCACACAGGCAGGTGGTGGAAAGGTAAAGACTAGAACTTGTCTCTCAGTGTCCTCTACAAAAGAAGGAGATTGGACAAAATGACCTCTAAGATCCCTTCCAGCTCTCCTATCTTCTAAGTGACTTAATATCTACTTTTTAAATGTGACTTTTTTTGGTAAAGACTTTTTTTTTAATGACTTGATTATAGCATGTATCAGAGAGATATGATTTGTTACTTAATGTCAATTATAGCCACAGTATCATTGAGTTAATAGTTTCTTTGCTGTGGGTATCCACTTTCAATTAAAAAAAAATAGCCCTGAGGAAGAGTGAGACAGTGGAAAGTGTACTGCATTTGGAGTCAGAGGCCCTGGGTTCAAATCCCAGAGCTGTCATTTCCTTATCTGTATGACCCTGGGCAAATTGCTTACTCTTTCTGGGCCTCAATGCCCTCATCTGTAAAATGAGGGACCTAGGTAACTTCTAAGGTTGCTTTCTGTTCTAAATCTATGATCCTATAACTGTTGGGCATGGTTATTTAACAATAAACCAAGCCAGACTTCTCAAGACATAGAGTCTTTGGTGGAACATTAGGACATGTAGCATGAGAACCTGTAGTGGAGAACAGGCCGGAGGGTTATCTCCTATTGGATACCCTGATGAAAACATTTGTGACCACAAGCATCTTTCCATGGAAAAATGTGATTATGTCAGGTGAGAGAATGGATTATTAAGAGAAATGTGTAGTTGACCCTAGGAACTATTTGAAGGAACAAAGAGTAACAGTGTAATGTAATGGAAAGAACTTTGGTCTGGCAGTCAGGGGTCATGGTTTGAGTGGTCACTCTGCTGTTAACTTGCTATGTGACCTTGGGCCAGTCCCATCCTTTCTCTTGGGATTCATTTATAAAAATGAAAGAGTCAGACTCCATGATCACTATGGTCCCTTCCTGCTCAAAATCAGAAATTCTGTATTCTCAGATGCTGTTTTGGTCTAACTTTCTGTGGTTCTATAAAATGGTAGGACTTGGCAAGGGCTTCTGAAATCCACAAAAAAATTGGTCTATTGAGGTTCAATAGAAAAAAAATACTGGATATGGAATCAGGGGTCCTGAGTTCAAATTCTGTTCTGTGTGTGAGACTTTGGGCAAGTTGCTTTTCCCTTTTTGGCCTCGGTTTTTCCCTTTGAAAAGTGAAAGGGTTGGACTAGATGTCCTCAAGGTCATGGCTAGTGCTAAATCTATGCTTCTATGATCCCACCACCCTCTCACTCCAATTTACATGGGAAGATGCCTCTAACTGGCCTCCCTGTTCTGAACAGTTGGAGGACTGAAGAGTCTCTGGATCTCATTATGGAAGAAGGGCTGGCTAAGAAGTGAGACGTTATTCCAACCCCCATCCCAAAGGGTTCCAAAACAAACTTCCCAAAGTCTTGGCCCATTTTCTCACCTCACAACATCCACAGATGCTGCACCCGATTTGAAGAAATCAGTGGAACTTTCCACCTCAGCAACATTGGGCAAAATCCTCTGCCAAGCATCCTGAAAGGTAAGGTCACACAAGAATAGTCTAACTCGACAGGTTACAGGGAAGTCTGGGTGTTCAGCTGCTCATGCATCAGTACGTATGTGGGCTTTGGTGCACAGGGAAAAGCAAAGAGATTGGTTGGATTGGAACTGAGAAATGGAGTTGGGAAATGGAAAGAAATGAAGACAAGCCTGCTCACATGGCTGCCTCCCCTTCAATCTGTGGTACAAAGACCTGCCTCAGCAGCTCGGTTAGTCTTGGTCTACTGTGTTCTGGCTCCTGGGTCTCCAATCTTATTCCCCTTCCTGCCCCAACTGCTTCCTTTGCTATAGCTGGGTCAGGCTCTTCACTGTCCTTACCCACCCTGAGGACATGAAAGGGAAATTCCTACTTCTATACCTTTATCAGCTTCCTGGGCTCTCAGTCCTCACCTTTATCACTGTGCTATGCTGTTCATCCTATCTAAGCTTTCTATCTATCCCCTGCAGGGTTTGGAGTTAGGGCTACTTGAAGCCATAATGATAAGCCCTAGAGTAAGCCTGGGCATCCATCCCAAGAGACAATAATAGAAAAAAGGGGTGGGGTTGAAGGGAATAATTAAAGGCATTTGGTTTCTTCTTGCTGAGTCATTTCAGTTGTGCCTGACATTTCGTGACCCAATTCAGGGTTTTCTTGGGGAAGAGTGTTTTGCCATTTCCTTCTCTAGCTCATTTTACAGATGAGGAAACTGAGGCAAACAGGGTTAACTGACTTGCCCAGGGTCACATAGCTAAGAGGTGTCTGAGGCCAGATTTGAACTCAGGAAGATGCGTCCTCCTGACTTCAGGCCTGGCACTCTACCCACTGTGCCAGCTTTCTTTTTAACTCCCACTACAATCACCCTTACTCAGGACCTCTTCTCCTCTCTTCTAGATTATTGCAATAGTTTAACTGATCTTCCTACCTCCAGTCTAGACCTCCAATTCTGCACTGCCCCCACATAATCTTCCAAGTATATCACTGCAATCATGTCATTCTTCTACTTAAAATGTTTAGTAATTTCCTCCTGTCCACTTAATACAGACTGGACTCCTCCTCCTAGCATTCAAGGGCCTCCACAGTCTGGTTCCAGCCTTATCTTTTAATATTTCCCTATCTTCTTTTTTACCATTCAAATAAAACTTCTTCATCTCTCATTCTCATCTTGCCTTTTGCTCTATGCCTTTTCTCGTGCTGTCTCCCATGTTTGGAACAGATTACTCCCTTATTTCCCACTCCACTGCATCTGTGGGAGTCCCTTCTTTTCTTTGAGGCTCAACGCAGACACTACCTCCTTTATGGAACCTTCCTTGACCACTCCCATCATCACCCTTAGCTGAAAGTGACTTTATATTTCCCATACCATTTAACTTGGATCTTTGAACTATCTCATCCTCCTTTCTATCCTAGCTTTCGCTTATTTGTTATCCATCACAATGCCAACTTCCCATGATTTCTCATTATCTACTCCTAATCTATTAGGTGCTTTTGGACTGTGAGCTTCTTGCGGGCAAGCACTGTGCTAATTTTCACCATGGTATTTCCAGCACCTAGCACGGTGCATTGCACCTACTAGGTTCTTAATAACTATTTACTGAATTTAATTGAAATGGGGCCCCATTGTCCAGGAGTAACAAGGCAAAGAGAAACATTCAAATATATGCAAATTCTCTTCTCACCCTAATGGCCTCTGCAGTGACCAGCTCCTCTTCAGTCAGTTCCAGGGTGGTGCTATCTGCTGATTTGAAGAAGTGAGATGCTGGGATCATTTTGCCATCTTCGAGCTGTATGTTTTTCACCACCAGCTGCAAAGGGCACAATTCTGGCATTTACTCTTCTTCTATTTTAATTTGAATCACCTGGGCCTTAATTACCACTCCTCATCTGATATAAATATCTCCTGGTATGTACACCAGGCACTCCCTCCTCTCCTCTCCTCCTCATCTCACATCATTTTGTCATCTTCTTGCACTATTTCCTACTTCATTCTAGTTAATCAACCAACCAATCAATACACATTTGTTCAGCATCGACCTAGGTGCCAAGGACTGATGAAGATGTCGTCCTCCTTATCCGTGCCAGCCCCTCTATATGCACTCTTGATCCCCTCCCCTTCCATCTTCTCCAGTAAATTATCCCCATTATCATCTCCACCATCTTTCTTTGCTTCAATCTTTCTCTATTTACTGACTCTTTTCCTGTTATCTATAAACATGCCCATGTCTCCCCCTATCCTTAAAACATCTTCACTTGATTATACCATCCCTGCCAGCTATCATTTTCTCTCCTTCCTCCTCTTCATAGATAAACTGGGGAATGCTGCCTACCCTAGGTGACTCTACTCTCATTTTCTGATAAACCCTCTATAATCTGGTTTCGACCTCGTCATTCAACTGAAACCCTCCAAACTCTCTCCAAAGTTACCCGTGAAGCTCTTAATTTCCAAATCCAATGGCTTCATCTAAAGCTTCATCTTTCTTGACTTGTCTGCTGTATTTGGCACTATGGATCACCTTCTCTTCCTAGACATTCTCCCCTTTCTAGGTTTTCATGACATATCTCTCCCCTGGTTCTTAGCCCATCTGTCTGAGGGATCTCTTTCAGTCTCCTTTACTGGTTCTTCACGGCAGGCCCATTAACCGCAATTCCTCCCCCACCCCCCAAGCCTCTGGGGAGCCTTGTTCCAGGACCTCTTGTCTTTTTGATCTGTACTATCTCTTCAGCTTCTATTGGTTTGTAATACCATCTTGGGCAGTGTCCTGAAGAATAACCCTGTGCTGCATGCTACATAAATGGAGGGATTTGTGATTTCTTATCAGCTAAGAATGCTCAGTGTAACACTGAGTAACTTTTCTAAGGGACTTAACCTTAGTTGATAATAGAAACTTTGAGAGAGAACGTCTTAGGAGGCAGTTGAGAGAGAGAGATGAGGTGTCAACGGTATACTGGAGACCTCGGCACCATGGATGTGTTTGGGAAGCTAGCCTCATCATATCTATATCTATTTTGTGAGTTCAATTATCATCTCTATGCATATGACACTAGGTCTATTTGATACTAGTCTCCAGCCTCTCTAGTCTCTAGTCTCTACTAGTCTCTCTTCCAAGCTACTACCACTGTCTTTTGGACATGTCAAACTCAAAGTAGCCCAAAAGAGAACTAACCTATCCTCTCCCACCCCAAACTTTCCCTTCTCAACTTCCCTATTACCATCAAGGGCATTACCATCCTGTGAGCTGCCCCTGCTTGCAACTTTGGAGTCTTTTTTCACCCTTCATTCTCCTTTACCCCACATATCCAATCAGTTCCCAATGTTGTCATTTCTACTTTCTTACATCTCTGATTTCTATCATCTCTTCACTCACACCTCTATCCCCCTAGTTAAAGCCTTCATCCCTCTTGCCTAGGCTATTGCAGTAGTCTTCTAATTGGTGTCCTTTACTTAGCAGGTGTTGGGGCTGGGATTTAAACACAGGCCTTCTGGAAGGCTCTAGGTTCTCTTCCCACTACCCTGATTTTTCTCTCCTTCCCCTTGATTCCTGATCTATGTAGCAAGAGACTGGACACATTGCAGATACCCAATAGAGAACTGTGGGAGCCCTTGAGCAAATTCTTTAGCATATATTTATGGAAAGCAAATCCTGGACCAAAAACCATTGAGTAATGCTACCCACCATTTTGCCATCATTTCCAAAGAGGACAAGTCCCGCTTTGGTGACAATGCCTGGTCGACTTGCTCCTGGGATATCCAGCGTGTCTCCCTCTGGTACAAGACCATTGTCATTAAAGGTTGATCCAAAAAATGTCAGCGTCTAGGGGAGAGAATGGAATCAAGGCATGAAGAGTGAGATCTGTTATTCAAAGTTCTGAAACATTCAGAAACAGCTGCCACAGGGCTTACGCAAAATGTCAGCCAGATGTGGCCCTGTGATGTGGGAAGAGCCCTACCCTTGCCGTTCAAGTCCTAGCTCTGCCATTGACTCCTGTGCAACTTTGGGTACAGTGGTTACTTAACCCCTGGGACTCAGTTTCTTCATAGTAAAAAAGAGATGATTAAAAAAATGATAATAACTCTCACGTGTGGAGTGTTTTACGTCTTACAAAGCACTTGTCTCATGATAATCTATGAATCAGGAAACATAATTGTTATTATGTAAGTAGGATATAAATTCCTTGAAGCTAGGGACTGTGTCACTTTTATGTTCAAACCTCCAGGGATAGTAGTTGCTTAACAGCTACTTATTGATTATTATCTCCATTTTACAGATGAGAAGACTGAAGTTCAGGGAGTCAAAGTGAATTGACGAGGGTCACACAATGGTCCAATTCTGGAGCTGAGATTTGAACCAAGGCGACCTGAAGCTCTTTCCTGTGTACCACAAAGCCTAGCTTATGAGAGTTTAATGAGACTGAATTCCTATTGCATCCCACTTGTTAGACTGGCACCTGGCATTAACCCACACTGGGCCCACTTTGTGATGAAAGGACTGTAACAATCATCCCCGGCTGGCTTCTAAGCTGGGCTTGACTTGGATCGGCCATTCCAAATGGCTTCCTTTTCCATCAGGATCTGTCCTGTGCCGTTGGAGTCCTAGACCTGTTTCTCTGGGTTATCTTGCCCTGTCTCCCTCAATGCCTCCTTCTTGCTTTTAAAAAAAATTATCTGGACCTTACAACTTCCATTAGATTTACTCTTGTCTCGCTGACTCCTGACCCTTGCTCTCTACTCCTGTGTGGGGCCCATCTCCTTTCTCAACTCATTGTTATCCATGCCTGGTGTGACACCTAGATTAAAAAGGGGATGAGAAAACAAGGTCAGGACAAAGGACAGGTCCCGCACCCCTTAACATACCTACCTGCCCATTAGCCTCTGTCCAGGCTCCAGGAACCTTGTCATTTCCTCGAATCCAGTTGTGGATGGCTTCCGCTGGCTGGTCCCAGTTGATCTGTAGAGACCATGGTAGTGACAATTCACATTTGGATGAATTTGAAAGATTGCAAAACACTCCTCCAAACACTGCCATGACACAGGCAGCCTAAGAATTATGATCTCCATTTTTGATAATGAGGAAACAGAGGCTCAGAGAAGTAAAACTACTTGTCCGTAGACACACGACTCATTAAGTATCAGGGTCAGATGTGAAGCCAGGTCTCTGACCCCTTAATCCAGTGTTTTCCCCTCTATTTGACACTGTCTTCTTTAGCATCTTGGGTACTTGGCTAATCTTTGACCACCCCCAAGGGCTCCTGAGCAAAACCAAAGGTCACTGTCCCAAGGAATCAGAGGATTATAGATTTGGAGCTCAAAAGGACCTTAGAAGCCACTGAGTCCAACTCTCTCATTTTATAGATGAGGAAACTGAGGCACAGAAAAGTTTAAGTCTGTGGCCCATTTCTTTTGAGGCTCAACTTCTGACTCTCTGAACTTTCTTTACCATAACCTTAAGAGTGTACCTTCTCATTCCATCCCCAACCTTAACATTTTCAGCCTTTTTTAATTTTCTGTCCTTTCCCATTAGAATACAAGTTCCTTGAGGGCCAGCATTGCTTTTTTGCTTGTATTTGTATTCCCAGTGCTTAGCACAGTGACTGGCATATATTAAGCCTTACTAATTGCTTGTTGACTTGTAGTTAGCAAGTGGCTGAGGCTGGATTTGAACTGGATTTAAACTTGGGTCTTCATGACTCTTGGAAGCAGAGCACTCTATCTAATTTATCACATGGCTGCTTCTAAGTGGGTTGAAATATCTCCACTCCCTATCCCAGTCTTAGATGCTGATCATAGACATAAGGATATGGTGGACTGAGGGACATGGAAAGCAGTAATGGCCTGGAAAGTAGCCATCCTTAGATAGCCCAGCTCCTGTAGCGCCCTGTGGTGGAAAGACTGAGCCAGCAATTCTAGTACCATTCACAACGCAACCTTGGCCAAGTCATATCAGTTCTCAACTCTTGGGATCTCAGTTTCTTCATATGTCAGATAGGTACCATAGCTACCTTACTTGACTCCTGGGACTAGTATAAGGTATATACTGTATGTACTAGTATAAGTATAATGAGATAATGTACAGGGAAGAAGTGCTGGGTCTTCCCTTGCCATTGAATGACTTGTGAGAATTGTGTCCATCATGGCAGATCCATAATCAGGCCAAGGGCTGCCAGAAGCACACAGTGAACCTGAGGCAGGATTGGGAGCTAGTTGGCTAGAGGGCTGACTACTTAGGATGACTTGAATAATGACACCTTGTTCTTCAACAGAACTAATGGGGATAGAATCAGATTGCTATGGCAGCTCCTGAACTACTCCAGAGTGTACCCTTGACTTGACTGTACCGTTCCCAGGTGGGGAAAGGATGCCAAGATTTGTGGTTATTGTAGCTGAACCAGAGTCCAAGCCAGGAATTCTTCCAAAGCTCACTATGAGCTCTCCCTCCTCAGAGAGGCAGCAGAATATAGGGGAAAGAGGGTTGGATTTAGGGTCAGGAGACTTGGGTTCAGATCCAGTCTCTGACAGCACTTACTAGTTATGTTCTCTTCATTTGGAAAGGCCTCATCATCCTCATCAGTAAGATGGGATAATAAAACCTATACTACATAATCCCAGTACTAATATTTTCTCTTTAAAATTACTTTCCATTTATACTGTATATATTTTGTATGTATAGTTAATTTGCGTATTGTCTTCCCCATTAGAATGTAACTTCCTTGAGGGCAGGGATTGTATTTTTGCCCTTCTATATATACCCAAGTTCTTAGCACATTATCTGGCACATAGCAGGTATTCAATAAAGGCTTATTTTAAAAATTGATTACTTCACAGGGTTGCTGTGAAAATGAAATGAGGGATGTATTCTAATAAAAGTGCATGGTTACATAAGTGCCAGCCATTATTAAGCCTCTCATTTCATAAATGAGAAAACTGAGGCTCAGAGAGGTTAGATGACTTGCCTATGATCACACAGGTGCTGTGTATGTTAGAGCTGAGATTTTAACCCAGGTTTTGTGAGTCCAGTATTCTTTCTAGTATACCAGGCTGCCTCATCTGTGCAGAGGCACAGACCTGACAGAGGATGAGAAATGAGCTGGGTACCTTGTAGACACTAAATGAATCCATCAACAAACATTTTTAAAGCGCCTATTATGTGCCAGGCATTTCAATGAATGCTAAGGACACAGATACAAATGAAACAATCCTTGCCTTCAAGGTGCTTCCATTCTAAAGAGGGAGACAATGCGCACACATTTAAATACATGTCAAGTACATACAAAATGAATAGAGGCAGTTAAAGAAGGAAGAAAGGATATTAGTCACCAGGGGAAATCAGGAGACACTTCCTATAGAGAGTGGTTCTTGGACTGAGTTTTGAAGGAAACTAGGGATTCTGAGAGATGGAGGTAAGGAAGGAGGTGGGAGATGGAGCATCATGCATACAAGTAGCCTAGTAGGGTTGGATTGTAGAGAGCACAGAGGGGAGTCACGTGTAATGAAGCTGGAGAGGTAGACCAGGGCCAGGCTGTGAAGAGCTTTACATGACAAATAGAGAGGTTATTGTTTGATTCTAGAAGTAATAGGGAAGGGGGGTGTATGGTAAGGTCTGTGCTTTAGAAAAATCACTTCTGTGGCTGAGTGGATGGATTAAATCTAGGAGAGGCTTGAGTTTGGGAAACAAATTTGGAGGCTACTACAGCAGTTCAGGCCAGGGGAGATGAGGGCCCGAACTACAGTGCTGGCTGTGAGGGTTGCAAGGAGAAAACATATTCAGGAGATATTACAGAGACAGATATGATGAGATCTGGCACCTGTTTGGCTATGTGGGGTGAGTGAGAGTTAAAAGATGAGGCTAACATCAACACTGTGAGCCTTGTGTGCCATTGGTGACAATGGGTGAGAGTGTGTGTGTGTGTGCGTGTGTGGTTCAATGCAAACCTATCACTGCTACAAAAAAGACACAACACTTGCTGTGCTTTGCGGTGCCTTGCTGAGGATGTCAATAACAGCATTGCCTGCACACACGAAGGTCAGGTAGAATGCAATGGAAAATAGAGAGACTTATTCAAGGGAATAAGGAGGCTCCCCTTCTCTCTCCTCTCCCCCACCTTAAAGAAAAGAAGAAGGCGGCACTCATTGGAGTTGGACAGCTCTAATCACAACTCAGCCTCCCTCTTCTCTGGAAGAATTTTTATCTCTGTGTGAAGGACAGTGGTGCTGTCAACAGGAAAAGGAAATTCATAAGAGGGGTAGGTTTCTTTTCTTTGGCATGGGGAGACAATGAGTTCTGTTGTGGACGAGCTGAATTTGAGTCATATTTGCTGATGGCTCCTTTGACCCTTACCTTGGCATTTTCCTTCTTCTGTATTCCTTCATAAGTTGCCCCCTCTTCAGTTTGAGGTATTTTGGGGGCCTTCCCCTCCATGATTAGTCTTACTGCCTCTACCTGAGGAGAAATAAGCAAGGTCACAGTGGCTTTTTCATGGGAGTAGCACATTTGTGGGTAGGAGAGGTGCCTCACACGTCTCACATGGGTGTATGTCTTTCCTTTGGAAGGCTCAGCTCTATTCACAAACACCTGGGATACTCCGTAGTTGCAAGGTACCAGGCAGTGCTGGTGTACTCATATGGCCCAGTAACACCCTATGGGAGTGCTTTTAATGCCAGTAACAGATGTGATTCTAGGGCAGGTTGGTAATCTCAAGGTTAGAGCTTGTTTTTAATGACTTCAAGGGTTCCAACTCACATGGATCAGTTAGATGTACACAGGGAAAAAATATTCCCTGGCCTCAGATGGAATTTACCAACCATGGCCACAAACTGCCCCTCGAGCCTTTTCCTATGTGTGCTGTTGGTGACAACAGCTGAGTGTGTGTGTGTGTGTGTGTGTGTGTGGTTCAATACAAACCCAACATTACTACCAAAGGAACAACATTTGCCCATGCCTTACTGAGGAGGAGTCAACCATGCATTCACAAAGGTCAGGTAGGGTTTTTATTGGAGAATGGAAAACAGAGAAATTTCTAGAACTCAAGGGAATGAGGACCCCCCCCCTCCCCTCACCCTGCCTTAAGGAAAAGAAAAAGAAGGCACCCATTGGAATTGGTAACTGATCACAACACGACCTTCCTCTTCTCTGGAAGAATTCTTCTATCTGTGCTGGTGGCACTCAATCAGATTCACCTGCCGCTCACTTCTGAGCTCAGCTACAGAAGGCAACCCTGGGTGGGTTCAATGGGGGCACTGGGGCAGCTCTCCACATAATCAGCATCATGGAACATTAAGGGGACATAGTCAGCCTTCTCTCCAGGACTCCTCTGAGGCCTCCAACTTTCTTTTTCATTCCCTACTGTGATAGTTACTTTTCAAAAGCTCTCAGGTCACCAAGCAAACGAAGGCTTAGAAATATAAAATCTCTAAGCTAGAAGGAGCCCTGGAGGTCTTTGAAGCCCAACTCCCATCCACTGCTACTCCTTTACAGGTGGCTGTCCAACTTCTCTGCTTGAAGACTTCCAGTGATAGGGAGCTCACTACCACCCATGGCAGCCCTATTCCATCTTCACCAGTTCTGATTGTTAGAAAGTTGATTCTTATACTGAGCCCAAATCTGTCAAACTGGAACTTCCTATGCATCATATTCTGTCCTTTGGAACAGACAGTCTACTTCCTCTCCTATACAAAATTCCCCCAATCAGTTGGAGAAAAAGATCATGTTCCTCTTAAAAATCTTTTCATCTCCAGGCTCAACATCTCCAACCAGAGTCTTCAATCGAGCCTCACAGGACATGGCTCCAAGTTCTAACCAGCCTGGTTGCCCTTCTCTAGACACCTTCAGTTTGCCAGAGACACTCCTAAAATGTGATACAGAGAAGGAGGCATGACAGGCCAGCTGTGGTCTGACCAGGGCTGGGAGCTGTCCAGCAATGGCAAGGGACTTCTCAGAAGGTAATAAGTTTCCCATCACTGGATGTGTTAAAGGAGAGGATGGAGATGTTGGGAGGATTTTGACAGTCACAGGGAGTTGAACTAAATGGCTTCTGAGGTCCATTCCAACCTATGATTTTATGATTTTATAATATACAATATTACATAATAAACCAGAAAGGCACAAAACAAAGGGCTGTGTGAAACCCAAAAGGGAGTGATTACTGAACAAGGGGGACCAGGGAGGTCTAAGGTCCTGTTTGCTTTTCGGATAATCAGATCACATGGGCTCAGAAAGTAGTTTACACACTGGAAGAATCACTTGGTAACTCCAACCTTTCATACCATGAGCCCAAGGACAAATGGCCAGACCTCTTAAAGGAAACAAAGGAGCTCCCAAGGAGGATATGTGGTATAGTAGAGACAGTCCTATGTCTAGTCAAGAGGGCTTGTGTTCAGATATTGCCTCTGATGCTACTACTGCCTCTATAACTTTGGGAAAGTCACAAACTCTCTGAGCCTCAGTTTCCTCATCTGTAAGATAAAGGAGCTGGTCTTTGATTTCCCCTCTAGCTCTAAAAATATCAACCTATGACTAAAGCTCCCTCATTTTACAGGCAAGGAAACTGAGACCCCAAATGGTTAAGTGACTTGCCAAAGGTCACACAACTGGGATTTGAACTCAGTTCCTTTGACTCTGAGGTCAACACTCTTTCCACTGTACCATGTTGCTTCCAATAATCATGATTATTGGAAGTAAAAATGATGCCATTATCATAAGAGCCCCCAAGATTTTCACAAGAATATTCTGGGGTTCATGGAGACATAGGAAATGCCACAGGAGACCAGACCAGTTGTCCATCCCACTGCACACCTTGCTATCACTGATAGTGGACACCAGGTCAGAGGTGTGGCTGGAGCGGGATCCCTGTGGACCTTAATGTCCATCTTGCAGAGGAGGTTGTTTTCATTAAGGTGGAGGATGTTTCAGGAGGAGGCTGACCTCAGTCATTACCATCCCATGGCTGAACAAATTGTAGTATATGAACATAGTGGTATATTCTTACATTGGAAGCAATTATGAATATGAGGACTTCAGCGAAATGTGGGAAGAACACAGAAAACAGTATATAAACTACAATAATGCAAGCGTACAGAACACTAAATTAAGTCCAACATTGTATGACTGTAATGACCAACGTTGGCCCTGGAAAGGAAATGATGAAATACCCCTCCTTCTTTTCTTTAGAGAGATGGGGGTTCAGGTATATGAGTAGAGAATGGTGTATACACTGTCAGACATGGACTGTGTCACTCGATTCTGATTTACTGTTCTTTCTTTGTTAGAAGGGAGTCACATTGAGGGTGGGATGGAAGTGGAGTATATATCTAGAAATGATTGTTTTATTTTTTTTTAAGTGTCAATAAAACCTTTCTTTTAAAAGAAAAGAAATTACCATTCCATTGACCCCTTCGGGGAAGAGGAAACGATTGTAGAGTGAGCTCACGGTGTCGTCAGGCAGAACTTCACACTCCTTCTGGAGCAGGATGTCTCCTGTGTCCAAGCCGTCATCTGCCCAGAAGACAGTAAAGCCTCCTTTCCGATCCCCATGGATCAGGGTCCTGAGGGCAGGACGGACAACAGCCAATGTTAAGTTTTACAAAACGCATTTTTAATGCAACCCTGACAAGTTGGACAAAGGTTATTATTCTGATTTTAGTGATAACGAAACTGTGTCTAGAAGAGGGCAAGCAGAATGCTAAGAGGAATGGAGGGTGTGTTATCCATACAAAGAGACTGGCTAAAAGGATCAGGGATAGTCTGTAGAAGAGTCAGGGAACTTGGTAACTCTCGTTAAATATTTGAAGAGTGGTCATGGAGGAGACAGACTACCTTTGTTCTCCTTGGCCCCAGAAGGTGAAACCAGGAGCGATGGGTGCCTGGTACACTGCAGGCTCTTAATAAACTTTTGTTGCTCGACTGCTGGGTGGAAGCTGCAGAGAGGGAGGGGATTTAAGGACAGGCAGGCATGGATGAGTTAAGCCTGCATCATTGGTGGGAATAACCACACTGAGGAGACCCCAGATCCATCAAAGATCCTGCCAAATAGAGCTCTCCCAAAGCGGAAGGGGCTGCCTTGGGAGGCAGTGGGTTTCCACTCAACCTGGAGGCTGGCATTTGTCAATTTAAGAAGGGATTATCGCTCAAGTACAAAGCGGACCAGATGATCTCTGAAGTCACTTTCGACTCAGATTCCTTAATTCTCTGAGAGGTATCCTGTCAAGCTAGTAGGTGGCAGGGCTGAGATTTGAAGCCAGGTCCTCTCAGTTCCAATTTACTGCCTTTTCCATTACACCGCATCGCCTCTAAGCTTAAGGTGTTCGCTTGCTGTTGGCTCTGTCTTCAGCAATAAAAAATGCAACAAACATTTATTTACTAAGCATCTAGCATTTACTAGGTAGGTTCTGAAGACTATGTATAAGGTATTGTCCCTGGAGCTTATAATCAAGTAGGGGGATAATACACACACACACACACACACACACACACACACACACACACACACACACACACACACAAATATATCTGTATCTATCTATCTATCCAGATTAACTACTATATATGATGTATTAGAGAGGCAAAAGACCAAGGGTTATGGGAGGTCCCAAAGGGAAGGTTGCTCCTGATTGGAGGGAGTCAGGGAAACCTTCTAGGAACTGATGGCTGCAGTTTTGGGCTTTAAAGGATGGGTTAGAAACTCAGCAGGTGAAGAAGAGGTTGGGAGGAATTCCAAGCATAGGCAATAGCATGAGCAAAGGCCCAGAGGTGGAGAAGTACATGGTATCTTTGCAGGTCATAACAGTGCAGTCTGTTTGGAGCAGAGACCTCCAGGCTCTTGCTCCTTTCCCCCAGGAATGTGTGGAAGGGATTAACAAAAGATAAAATTGGATAGGAAAGAAGCATGAGATTGTGGAGAGCCTTGAATACTAAGCGGAGGAGTTTAACTTTTCATGGTAAATGCTATTATTTTCAGAAGAGGAATGATACAACTCTGTCTATGTTCTTGAACAATTCTCCCCTGGGGTTCCATTTGTCCCCTGGCTACTGTAGACCAGAAAGAGCTCTTTTTCCTCCCCATATTTCCTGCAGAGGGCATCAGGGGCTCATATGTGTCAGAGAACAGAGCCCTGGAATGGGGCTACCAGGAGGGGGTGCAGCTCCCCTCATTTTCAAGGTATTCCCTGCAAGAGGGTAAGTACCACTCAAAGAATGCCCTAAGGGGCATATGCATCAGGATGCATTCCTTTGGGGGACAGAGGAGTTCCCCAACTTACCTCTTCCTCTTCAGACTGTATTCCCCCAAGATATATCTACCCACCCTCCTAGCTCCAGAAAAATTTATGAAATAGGTAACACCGTTTTCCATCTAGCCTTTCCCAGCCATGAGCAAGTATACCAAGTGCTCACAGCCTTGGCTCTCATGATCTTTGACATGCCACCTCCCTTATCTGGCTCTTAGTTTGGGTAATAACCCTCCATCCTGGCTCTCATGACCTTTGACAAGTCACCTCCCTTATCTGGCTCTTAGTTTGGGTAATAACCCTCACCCTGCCTTTCTTACAATGCCTCAGTCAGGATGGAATGTAGTCATGGATGACAAAGGCTTTGCAAAAGGTAAAGAATAACAATGTACTGTCTTGTGCTCTAGCCTTAGAAGAAAGCACTCCAATACACTGATTCACACTCAGGTCCAAGTGACTTAACACCTTTTTCCTCCAAAGAGTTCTGGCAATTGACAAATGAGAGCCTGGAAGAGATAATTTTGAACCAAAGGAGTAAATCCCTAGTAATAGTTTCCTTGTGCCCGAGAAACTTAGGAAGAAAGGCACTGCCTGGTGTGTCTCACTCCATCTATTCAGTGGAGGGTGTAAGAGCCAGAGCTACTTAGGAAGGGAAGATATGGGCTGGTCTTCGGCCTCTGCCAGCCTCTTACCCTCTTACCAATTGATGGATGAGGCTCCCCGATGCCGGGGCAGGAGCGAAGGGTGGTAGATGATGGAGCCGTGCTCAGGTGCATTGATGATCTCCATGGGGATGAATTGGCTGCAGAAGGGAAGGACATTCAGTTGGGCTCCCAGACACTTGTATTGCTCGACCACCTCGGGCAGGGCCTTCCCTTTCGCCCTCCATCGGGGAAACTTGAACACTGGTACGTGGTCCTTCTCTGCCTCCAGCGCTGTGAAGACACAGAGGGATTCGTACAGGTCTACTCCATCATTCGATTCTCTTCCTTCCTTTTCTTCCCTTCCATCTCCCTCCTTTCTTCCTCTCTCTCTCCTCTGAGGAAGCCCTTTTGTGCCTCAGGACAGATGTAACCACCTCTGGACTAGCTAAGCACACTGGCATGGGGTACCAAACACAGCCTCCCCTCCATCACAGACAGATCAACACTCGTCTTCTCACCAGGTGCTACGTTCAGCCACTGTTCCCCCCTCCCTGCCCCTTCCCTTGGAGTTTTCTGAATTATTCTTCTATTAATTAAATAATCTGCTTTTCCTTCTGTCATGAATCACCTGTCTAAGCCTGTTGCTTGACACCCCTTACTAAGGACAACCTCCATTCTCTTACTGGAGTAGCCAGCCCCATCCTATATCCTGAGCTCTCCATTGACGATTATTGATTTATCTAGACTGCTTCTCATTGTCTCTTGCTAAAGATTTTCCTGCTAGGTCTGTCAAGTCTCCCAGTCCTGGCTACAGCTGGTCTGGCTGGTTTCTCAGCTGATTTAGGCCTGATTCTCACATGATTCTGATCTCCAGTCTGGGCTGCCTCGTGCCAGCCCTGTAGACACAATAAATCATTTCCATTTGGCAAACATTGGTTAAGAGCCCACTGTGTGTGAGGTGCCGAGCTTGGCTTACCCAGTGGATCTGCTTTCCCATCCTTATCAGGAATGGTGAATACTCCCACCACTTGATGACCTTCCTTTCGGAGTCGGGAGTAGACTTCCTGGCCAAACAGGCTCTGACCAATGATGGCTATCCTCATGGCGGTGGTTATGGACCTGGAAGGGCAAAGCCACAAAGTTACGGCTAAGGAGTAGTTGTAGATAGGTATTTATTTATATGTGTAACCAGACCCTTAAATCTGAATGATTCAGTCAGTCAACAAATACTTCTTAAGTACTTACCAAGTGCCAGTCATTGTGCTAAGTAAGTGCTAAGAATACAAAAGATGGTTTCTGCCCTCAAGGAGCTCACATTCTAATGGGGGAGACAAGATGCAAACAATTACATACAAACAAGACACCTGTAGGGTAAATTGCGGGTAATTGCGGAGGGCTTCATTTATTCATTTTGTTTTGACAAAACAGATAGTTCCCATTTGCTGTTGTTCATTCACATTCAACTCTTCCAGCCCCTATTTGGGCTTTTCTTGGCAAAGATACTGGAGAGGTTTTCCATTTCCTTCTCTTGCTCATTTTACAGATGAGGAAACCAAGGCAAACAGAGTTAAGTGACTTATCCAGTATCACATAGCTAGTTAAGTGCCCGAGGCTGGATTTGAACTCAGGAAGATGAGTCTTCCTGACTCCAGGTCTGGCACTCTATCCACTGAACCACCTAGTTACTTCCCAACCAAAGCTCAAACAACCAGAATTCATATTCTCTGACTAGAGTTCATAATTAAAAAAAAACCCAAAAAACTTTAAACCAAACTCCCTAAGAGACTGATTGAGACTCCTAGTACATGTCACTTCTTACTTTTATAAAGCGGGGTTTGTTTGGTTTTCCAGCAGTAAGCAGGGCACACCATCCCTTGCATCCAATCTGAATCTACTGCCCTCAGCACAGATTTCATCTGCATCGTGGTCATTGTTCCCTACTCTGCATCACTTCCCCTGATTTTCTGAATTCTTCAAATTCCTCATCCCTCATGGCTCAGCAATATTGCATTATCATGTGCCAGAATTCGTTCAGTCATTCTTCAATCATTAAGCCTATTTTTTGCACCCAGCTTTTAAGGAGGAAGGAAACAAGCATTTATTAAGTGCTTACTATGTGCCAGGCACTGCATTAAGTGCTTTACAAATATTATCTCATTTAACTCTCACAACAATCCTAAGTAGGTGCTATTATCATCCCTCTTAACACATGAGGAAACTGAGGCAGGCTGAGTAGTTAACTTGCTTAGGATCATCTGACTAATGAGTTGCTGAGGTGAGATTTGAGCTCAAGTTTTCCCGACTCCAAACCCAGCCCTCTATCCCTTGGGCAACGTAGCTGCCTCTACTTTTTAGCTATTATAAACTGCATAACGATCGCCTATTTTTGTATAGGAAGGCCTTTTCTTCCGGTCATGAAATAATTGAGGGGGGTTTATGAGTTAAAGGGCATGAATGATTTAGTAATGTTTCTTATTAATTCCAAAATGCTTTCCAAAGCAGTGCTCAATCAGCACTCAATCAGCAGTGAAATAACCTGCCCTTCTATTCACAGCCCAGTTCTGGCAGCTCCATCTGGATGTCCCATGGGCATCCCAAACTCAACATCACCAAAATGAAAGTAATTCTGCTCAGCTTTAATCCATTCGATCTTCCAAGCTGCCTTATTTTGGTCGAAGGTCTCCACTACTATTCTTCCACTCACCCAGGCTTCCCAGGTGGGAGTCACCCTGTTTCTACTCTCTCCACTTCTACCCTCACCCCCCTCCAATCAGTTGCCAGGTATTGCTGATTCTCCAATCATGCTAATTCAGGTTCTCCTCACCTGTGTCCTGGACTCATTTACTCATCGTATCTCTGCTTTCAGTCTCTTCTGTCCCCTCCGGAGGGCTGCCAAAATAAGCATCCTAAAGCACAGGACGGATCATGCCATTGCCCTGCTCCAGGAGCTCCCAATTGCCTCTAGGATCAAAATCAAACCCCTCCCCCAGTCTCCAGCCCACCTTTCCAGCCTCATTAGGTATCACTTCCTGTCACCTAGTCTCTCAGTCAGACTGGCCTTTTGCTCTCCATTCAACCCCACCGTCACACTGTCCTCTGTGGAAAGTCGGATTAACTCTTACTCCAGCGTCTCTGTCAATGACAATCCTGTTAAGCATTTGACCCCTCCCAGGGGGATTAGTATGTTAATAGAGGACAAAGTATTATATGGAACTCAATGATCTGGTTAAGTTAGAGCTAAATTCCTTCTGGTTCTAATAATCCATAGTCCTATGAACCTGCTTCTGTCAAATAGGATTTCAAGCTTACTAGATAGAGCAAGGTAGACTGCTTTAAGGATGGGGACATTCCCAGTGTCCCCTAGAGTCAAAAGAGTTCTTCATCAAAAAATCTGAGTTCTAATTCCAGGCCCTCTGATAACCTGCTATGGAGATCCCACCCAAGTCATTTCCTTGCTCTGGCTCTGGGTTACGTTTTTACCATTGGTAAAATGAGAGTAACAAATAGATGTCACCAGATGTCCTCTGTATCAACGATGCCCTGTCCAAAGGTGAAGTTGGTGAGAAACATTCCATTTTTCATCAGGCCTCGTACTGACTATAAATGTCCCCTTCACTTCAGGGGACAGCTAGTCTTTTTAGCTTTTCTCTTAACTTTGTGATGCAAGCACTGCTAATGTTGTTATCCCCATTTTCTATTGATGCCTTTTTGTTGTTGTTGTTGTTGTTGTGCAATGGAGTTAAGTGACTTGACCAGGGTGACACAGCTAGTAAGTGTTATGTGTCTGAGGCCGGATTTGAGCTCAGGTCCTCTTGAATCCAGGGCAGTGCTCTATGCACTGTGTCATCTAGCTGCCCCATCCCCATTTTCTAGATGAGGAAACTGTAGGCTCAGAGAGGGGAAGGGATTTGCTCCTGCAGCTAGCAAGAGGCAAAGCTGGGACTAGAACCTAGGTTTCTTGACTCTAAGTCGAAGTCCATAAACATTTATTAAGCACTTACTATATGCCAGGCACTGCGCTAAGTATACAAAGAAAAGCGAAAACACCGGCCTCACCATCAAGAAGCTCCCATTCTAACAGAGAGACAGTATGCCAATAACTATGCATGGGTAAATGATATACAGTCAAGAAAGTAAACTCCGAGGGAAGGTTTTGGGGAGGGAGGTATGGAGAATTAGGCCTCCAGCAGAAGGTGGGATTTGAGCTGGATCTTCAAGGAGACCAGGGAAGCTAAAGGTCATAGATGAGGAGGGAGAACATTCTAGGCATGGAGTGAGGGGCAAGAGGGGACAGCTAGTGAAAATGCATGGAGTAGGGAGATGGGATGTCCTGTATGAGAAATAGCAACTAGGTCAATGTATCTAGACCATAGAATGTGTAGATGGGAGCAAAATGTAAGAAGACAAGGAAAATAAGAATGGGTCAGATGGTCAGGGGCTTTAAATGACAAAGGAGTTGTTTGATTCTGAAGATAATAGGGAGCCACTGGAATTTATGGAGTAGGGGAGTGAAATGGTCAGAACTGTATTTTAGGAAAATCGCCTTGTTGTGAATATCATAGCATCTGAGTGAAGGATGCATTGGTGTGAGGAAAGAATTTTGGCAGGGCCACTAATTAGAAAGCTATTGTAAGGGTCTAGTTAAGAGGTACAAATGTAGTGTGAGTCGACAAGAAATGTTGTAAAGGTAAAACCCACAAAATTTGACAATAGAATGGATGTGTGGGGTCAGTTCAAGGGAAGAGGTGAGGACATCAAAGCTGTAAGCCTGGGTGACTGGGAGGATCGTGATATTGGGGAAATTGGGAGGAGAAGAGGATTTTTGGGGGGGAGATAATGAGTCCTCTTTTGAATATTCTTAGTTTGAGATGCTTATAGGGAAACTGATTCCAAGATGTCAAGGTGATACTAGAACCAGACTTCAGGAGAGAGATCAGGGCTAGCTTCAAGATCTGGGAGCCATCTGAGTAGAGATGGTAATCACACCCATAGAATCTGATGAGATTATTAAGTATGATGGAACAGAGGGAAAAGAGAAGAGGACTGAGGGCTGAATTTAGGTAGAAAAGCCATCATTAGTGGGTATGACATGGCTGAAGACGCAGCTAAGGAGACTGAGAAGGAGCAGTCAGAGAGGTGGGAGGAGAACCAGGAGAGGGTAAAGTTATGAAACTTAGTAAGAAGAGAGTACCCAGGAGAGAGTGATTGGCAGTGTCAAAGGCTGCAGAAAAGTCAAGAAGGGGGGTGTCCCCAAAGCCCCAGGGGCGTCTGAAGTTCCTTTCTCCAGAGTTTAGCTGAGAATGGGAGACAAGATATATGCAAGGATCACTAACAGGAATGGTTAGATCAATTATGGATTTTTTTTAAAGGCTGGGGGAAATGTGGACATCTTTGTGGCAAACGCAGAGTCAGTAAATAAGGAAAGACTGAAAATTAGTGAGAGAGAAGGGATAACGGAGGAGGAAATCTGCTAGAGAAGATGGGATAGAATGGGATTAGCTGTGCATGTAGAGGGTTTGCCTCCAAGAAGAACTACCTCTTCATGGGAGACAGGAGTGATGGAGGAGAGAGCTGAGGGAAACTTTTCAGTGATGTGGGATGTGGAAGAGGGGAGAGAAGTCTGTTGAAGGAGGCAGGTGGAGAGGCAGCTCAGGGTCTGGCCTTGTGACCATGTGGCATGATGTTACGTCCTGGGAGGCCTCAGGCGTCCAGCACTCTCTCCTATGGCCTCCTTCCCAAACTCCCCAGCTACAGTTCTAAATAGGCCCTAGACCAGATCCTTTCCCAGGTTCTTCCTCTCTGGTGTTTCCCTTCGCAGGGTGATTTGCATTTTTAAACCAGCTCAAGGGTCACTTTCTGCAAGAAATCTTCCAAAAGGTTTTGAGGCCTCTTGATCTCTCCACACTTAATTACAGGCTGCCTCTGATTGTTCTTTAATGATTTCTGTGTCTGGTTTATCTAAATAGACTGCATAAGCTGGATCTCACCATAATCTTGCTTAGGATTGGTTACATGATAATTCAATTTTTCAAAAAACAAATATTACTTACGCTTTTTATTTTTCCATCACAGTCATTCTAGAATACTGCCACCCCTATACCACCAAATGGGTGTTCCCTTGTAACAGAAAAACAGGTGAGCAAAAGGAACTGATATAGTCACCGTATCTAACAGAGTATACAACGTTCCACACCCAGAGCCACTCACCTCTCTATCAAAAGGAGGAAAGCGCTTCCTCCTCCCTTTTCTGGGGTTGTTGAGGGCAGAGTTGGGAGAGTTGGTTCAGGTGTGAAAGAATTCACTTAGACCTTCTTTGTAGCCATTGGTGATGAGTCCAGGGTGGACCCCAAGAATGTTGGGGTGACACCTGAAATGATGAGGAATAGTGTGGGTCCTAGCGTCCTGAAAGAATTCCCTCGGACAGGTGAGGTTAAAGAAAGGCATTTATTGGGGTGATGCATCCAAGGGTCCTGCTTCCCAATGGGCTCTACTCCACGTAGGAGGCAGAGCATAGGCTGCAGGCCCTGCTCCCCTGAGGGAGAGAGCAGCTCTGGCTTCCCATGGGAGGCAAAGGTGGTTAGCTAAGTCAAAGGGATGGTTTAAATACAATTTTATGGAATAAGGAGAGGGGGACGAGAGAATGAGAGGTGTAGGTATCTGGAGGTGTCAAGCAGAGAGAACAGGAAAGGGGAGGGGAAGAGTTGTTCTGGAATTGAGGGTGCTTTGTGAAAGCACACAGTTAAGTCCATGGTGGGGCCTTCAATGCATAGTCTTCTTCCATCACTTTTCTGCCTTGTCACATCCTGCATCTTATTTCCTATCTCATGTGCTGCTTGCTCCATCTGCCTCAAGCGCTTTTTTCTACCTCATCAAGGTCAAGATTGATCCTTACAGTTGTTCCACATCCAATTTCACTTCTGCATGCTTTTCATTTATGGTATCCTTGTCCTTGGATAAGTGATTCTCTTTGTTGTGCTAACAGTCTGTATCAGTTCATGCCAGCCGGTGGTGCAGTGGATAGAGCACTGGGCCTGGAGTCAGGAAAACCTGAATTCAAATCCAGCCTCAGATACTTACTAGCTGTGTGACCCTGGGCAAGTCACTTAACCCTCTTTGCCTCAGTTTCCTTAAGTGTCAAATGAGCTGGAAAAGGAAATGGCAAACCACCCCAGTATCTTTACCAAGAACACCCCAAATGGGGTCCTGAAAAGTCGGACAAGACTGAACAACAACAAAAAAATTGACCTGAATTGAGTGCTATACTAATGTAAGAGAGACAGTATGTTGTAGCAATTAGAAAAGTGGCCTCAAAGCCGGGAAAAACTGGGTTCAAGTACGACCCGTGACATATTCTGGCTGTGTGACATTGGGCAAGTCACCAGAACCTCTCAGTATCCCAAGCATCTCTCTAAGACTGTAAGTTGCATTGGAGGAGGATGTATCCTTACCTGGCAGTTCCCATTATCAATGGAATAAGAGGTCCAGTCCCTATCCCTATGATTCTTTGTCAATGTTCTTTTCATTATAATATGATTAAAAAGTTTCCAGAAAGATCCCTCCCCTCCCCTCCCCACCTGTAATCAAAAAGATTATGGACTGCACAGTACTTTCACTTTAGGTTCAGGTCTCAAGATATAATGACACATACTCAGTATAAACTTAACAATCATATTTATTTTACAATGATTAATAATGATTAAAACAACACAAGCATATAAAGATAAGAATAACATTCACTGCAATAAATAATAATCAAAATTAAGAAAAGGAGGAATAAGAAAAGAAAAGATACACACTCACTGACCAGGCGAGCTCAAATGCCTACGAGACCAAGGAGACTGGAGACGATCAAGAGGTCTGATCAGGAGGCCAAAAGAGCAGCGTCCTGCTCTTAAACAACAAGGACCGTGCATGTGTTCCGCCCTTGAACAACAACAGAGAATCGACGTCCCTATCTCTGACATCAAAGTACTCCCAAAAAATCCCCTTTCAGATGCCCCTTTTATATCCATGTAAACCAGGGAAAAACAATCTTAACATTTTGTTTTGTGTACATATCTTTGGTGAGCGCTCAGGTCCTGGATACGCACACATTCTAACAAAGGTGGGAGCTTGATCAGAGCCCCAAATACCTGTTTGTTGTGTAAGTCTCCAAGGAGGGATCAGGTCCTTGCACAGTTAATACTTCTCTCAAGAAAAACGTTCCAGTTATAAAAGTGCCACTAAGTTAATAGCTCCCTGAAAAAAAAACAAACCCTTCCTGGCAGATATTTATACAATTGAGTGTAACTAATTTGAATCCTCTTTTTTTTCCTCCCCTCTTGTAATGATACTGAATTATGGTGACAGGCAGTAGAACAATTATTGATTACTACTATTTTTAATACCATATGTGCCCCTACTGGATATATATCTGTATGTGGAAGATCTAGAATTCCTTTAATAGTGTAATGAAGTTTTACCAAATTTGACTCATTGGGATATGATTACTACATTAAATCTTCCCAGTGTTTAAGTCCATACAAAAACTATGGTCAATGTACACTAGGGTTAATAAATCCTGGAATGCAATTATATAATTATGCTAATTCTGTAATTCATAATAGAAGAAGAAGAAGTTCTTGGGATAATTTTTTATTGTGGGTACATAAGACTACTGCTTTTTTAATCCCCGGGGTAGGATATATTGATCATGAAATGGTATTGACTAATATTACCAAAACTACTGAAATTATTGCTAATGAAACTGTTGATGGCTTACAGAATTTACAAGTATCTTTAGACTCCCTAGCTCATGAAGTATTGGATAATCGAATAGCCTTGGATTACTTATATTATTAGTAGTACTATTGATTTTAATTTTTGGACCTTGTATCTTAAGTTGTATAGCTTCTTTTGTTTCTGCGTGGCTACATTTATTTTCCTTCTATAAATGAGCTCATGGTTTCCCCTCTAATGGATGATATGTGAACTTTCTCCACTAGCAGGGTGATAAGTTTTCTTGGCCTCCCCTCTTCTTCGGGGATGATGTGTGATGTTTGGTTTTTTGTTTTTTTTTTATTAGAGTAAAGATTATAAGTTTTTTGTGTATGGTTTCTGAACAAGGTCTGGGTTAGAGCTAGAGGCTGACTATGAAGGAAACTGAGGAAGATCTTCTCCAGACCCTCATGAAACTGCCTCATGACCTGACAGAAAGAATGTAAATTGGAGTTAACATGCATGGCCAAGTGCATGATGGAGACGAAACGTTAAGTAACCAACAAACCATGTTACCTGGGAAAGCAATTCTTATCTCAAGAAACATTTTTCTTGAGAGAAGTATGTAACTGTGCAAGGACCTGATCCCTCCTTGGAGACTTACACAACAAACAGGTATTTGGGGCTCTGATCAAGCTCCCACCTTTGTTAAAATGTGTGCATATCCAGGACCTGAGCACTCACCAAAGATATGTACACAAAACAAAATGTTAAGATTGTTTTCCCCTGGTTTACATGGATATAAAAGGGGCATCTGAAAGGGGATTTTTTGGGAGTACTTTGATGTCAGAGATAGGGACGTCGATTCTCTGTTGTTGTTCAAGGGCGGAACACATGCACGGTCCTTGTTGTTTAAGAGCAGGACGCTGCTCTTTTGGCCTCCTGATCAGACCTCTTGATCGTCTCCAGTCTCCTTGGTCTCGTAGGCATTTGAGCTCGCCTGGTCAGTGAGTGTGTATCTTTTCTTTTCTTATTCCTCCTTTTCTTAATTTTGATTATTACTTATTGCAGTGAATGTTATTCTTACCTTTATATGCTTGTGTTGTTTTAATCATTATTAATCATTGTAAAATAAATATGCTTGTTAAGTTTATACTGAGTACGTGTCATTATTTCTTGAGATCTGAACCTAAAGTGAAAGTACTGTGCAGTCCATAATCCTTTCGATTACACCACCCCAGTCATACTGCCTAAAATTACAACATTAGAAATTACTTTCCTTTGGTTAAGCATTGACCCCCTCCTTGGATATTCTCTAAACTATCCTCAGAGGAGTAACCTAAAAATTGATCCCATTTCCACTGTATTTTTAAGGCTTGTGAAGCACTTTCTTCTTCTTATCCCCGTTTAACAGATGAGGAAATTAAGGCACAGAGAGATTAAATGACTTGCCCACTGTTCCCTAAGTTAGGTTCCCTGAATCTATAGCCAGCTGTCTTTCCATCACACCATGATCCCTATCAAAGTTATTAATATCTTAGTATGAATTATTGTCTCTTTTTGCATGCTTAGCACAGTGCCTGGCACATAGCAGATGTTTAATAAAATCAATTGATTGATTGAATTAGTTGATTCTTTCTGTGAAAAGAAGAGGCAGAGGAAAGTAAGAAGACATGAGGGGAAGAGCCAATGTAGAAAAAAGTGGAGAAAAAGGCATAGGATATGGGCAATGAAAATATTCTGCCCCACTGTGTATCTCTACTGCCCACTATAGGCAAAGTGCTATCTCTACCACCAGTCCCTAAAATATCTGATCCTGACCTGCTGGGAAAACTAGAAAAGAGTGCAGTGGAAAATGAGTTTATGGGTGGAGCTGAGCTGAATCTGGAAGCATATCATGGTCGGTTAGAAACAGAAACACCATGGCAAATACTGAAATCCCAGTAGATTCAAAATCCGCCCAAAATTCAGGAACAAAGATCCTCCTTGGTAGCTAGTCAGTGCAATCTGGACTGTCAGCAGATAGTCACAAAATGAATTATTCTGAAATGGGGCGAGGCGGAAAAGTCGATAATAAAAATTTCCCGAGCACCAGCGTGTCATTTCAGTCTGGTACAGATGCAGATGTAAGAAGCCCAGGGATGCATTCAAGAGACTCAGATATGAAGTCAGGGATAAAAATGATCTGACGTATAAAGAAACAATTGAATTAATGCCCAGTCTTTCTAAAATAGATCACAGACAACGGAGCAGTTTGGTTTGTGTGCTCCTAAGCTACGATGAAGAAGGAATCATCTTTAATAAGTGGAGAAGTCTGATGGGAGACACTAAAGCTTTTGGTGAGTAGGGATACAGAGTTGAATAGTGGAACTTATTGAGACAGTGCCACTGATGATGGCATGGTGTGCCAGAAAATACCTGTTGAGGCAGATTTCTTACGTGCATATTCTATAGCACCTGGTACTATTCTTGGAGAAATTCGAAGGATGAGTCCCAGGGTTATCTAGTCACTTTGCACAATGCTGAAACTATATGCTCACAGGCTTGAGCTCATGCAAATCCTTACCCAAGTCATTTGGAAGGTTGCCATAGAATTGGAATCTTACTCCTTAGATGTTGCCTTTCATCCAAAGAAGCAGGTGCCATGAATTGTGTCCATTCTTATTAAGA